ATCAGTTCAATATTATCATGCTACAACAACTTAATATTATACATCATAGTTCCAGTCGTTTATAGAATAAGCTTAGGTATCGAGCGATTGTTAAGCAACTAACATTTAAACTAGAGAGAGGGATGTGTGTAGACTGTCACATGTGATCAAGCATAGATGCTCATATAGACGCGATAATAATAATAAAGACAAATTATTACAGTGCAAATAACACTGTCTATCAGAAAAGGTAATTAAAAGACTTGACAAAATTAACCTTAAACAAGCTTAACTGTAAGAGAGGTGCTATAGTCTCAAAGAAGATGAAACACACATCCTAGATTCCAATACTAGCCACCATTCAACTCTGCCTATAACACTTAAAACTTAGTGACACTATCTAGGTAATCCTAACAGGATGCACATGACCAAAATAGACTGATCATTTGTAGTCCTAGACATCAAATGTAAGATTCAAACAATCAATACAAATGGATTAAACATCGAGTAGAATGTTAATAATTAATATATTCTTTTATTAAATCCTAATAAGTAGAAGAATTGCATTCATTTAATCTGAAGAAGCGGCTGACATTAAATCACGAAACATCAGAAATGCAATGTTTATACTCGTTGGGATATAACAAAAAATATGTGTTCATTTTAAGTTTAGTGTGATATGAATGTGTGCATAATTAAAAATATAATCACTGGTTGAGTTTTATTATCATTTAATGATACTTTTAATAGATGAGATCATGGGCCAATTGAAGCTAGACCACCATGGAAAACCTGGAAGCACTGGACGGTCGTTTCATCCTACTGTGGGACTCCTCAGCAGTGCGCATCCACGATCCCGCCTCGCGAGATTCGAACCCAGGATTGTTGTTATAAAAACAGATATTGTGCACATATTTAAATGTATAAGGTGTCGATTAGTTGTTTTGGCTTAGTCCAGTACTCTTAAGTAGTGTACATTAATAATTCTACCTGGTATTTAACACTTTATATGGTACAAGTTTTGTTAATTTTATACTGTGTTAATTTATAAATTATACTTGTTATGGCCCAAAGCCGCCAATCAGAAGCAGCGAATTATCGGTTGGACCAAGGACGCGTAAAACACGTGCGAGTAGCCTAGAGTCCTGATTGGTCCTGCTTTCCGCCTAGCCCAGTCAGTTAAGTCCAGAACACCAGTCTCAGCCTCAACAATATGAATCATGGATTTCAAACATACGCTGTTTATCTACCAATCAAGCAGACCACAACGTACCATAAAATAGAAAATAACATTTGTACAATATTTGGCCAAATGTGGCTGTGAATGTGGGACGCAGTAACTAATAGACAGGGCATAATTCAAAAATGGTAAAACGTATAATAATGGTTCAGAGGTCAAAATAAAGTTTATAATAAGAGGAATATGAATATGAATAGTTTAGTTATTTAACAATTATATGATAAAAATATACGTTTAGTATTGGTCCATAAAAAATCCCAATGTTACCATTCATTGCGTTTATCAAGACCTAACAACACTTAAATCAGTTAACTCTTTAACTGTACTCATTCACTTGATTGGTGGATCATGCAAATTTATACTTCGTCAAATCTGGTATTAGAACTCGAAAAAGGCAGATAAATAGTTTCAAGCCTCAGTTACAACTGAAAATCTTAACTCATGTGATTATGAAAATCAGAGTGAACTGGTTACAAACCGTAATATCCAAAATGGCAATAAACTCTTTATAATTAGACCATCCATCTTAAAGGAAGGAGACTATACCATAATAATCCATTTGAACTAAGAATATTCACTAGCTTAACATTTTGAAATATCAACGTCATATGCTGTACAAAGTTGAAAATGGGTGATTGCACTGTTGAAATCATATCAACCTATTATTATTGGCTATTAAATTAATGTTACCACATATCATAACATATCGTTTGTAATACCATTATGCTACAACCGATTCCCTTGATTTTTTGAAGCCATGTCACGAAAGAAAGCTCAAAATCCATTATTAACGTTCAATTCAGCATGAACACTACTATAACTGCTTTGAAAACTGGTGAAAAGCATTAAAATTTCTGCTTCTATTTTCACCCATCTATTTAGGCGTAATGATGTACTTCTCGTGGATTGATTTCTGTTCATTATCGAAATACTTTGCTTTTCTACTACATAACGTGGTGGTCGGGTTTGACTATGTTGATGTTTCAGGCAAGCTATATTGGCTTGGAGGATTATTCCTTTACGTTCCATCTCGCCAGGCAGGTTGGTCGGACAACGGTATGGTTAAAAGCAGAAAACTTAGAGCTCGATGGAGAAAACGTACTGCTGAATGTAAAGGGGTATGGAAACAGTAAGATGTTTCCCTTAGACAACTAGCTACTGTAGCGATGCTGCCTTCTCACAATGTAAGAAAGGGGTGAGAAGACATCGATCCTAGGAACATTACAGCTTACCTTGTCTCCAGTTGTAAGAAACCTTCATTCAAATAATCGACACAATCAAAATTGGATCCAGGGGAGTTCGATTTAAAAACTTATGCACTGTTGAGGCGTTGGCGATCCACCAATTCACTCCCCAACTCTGAGTGCAAAAACAACACATCCAACCTCTTAACATTCCTTGACCCGAATTCCCTTCTGTAATATAAATTAGCCCTGTTTTTTTCGACTATTTATTTACGTTCTTTATTTTTTCTTCATATCTGTCAAACGGAAAATTACCCTTCATAATTCTAACCCGTAAATTATTCTGGTCCTCCAAGACCACTGATTATTACGCAACCTCATCTGACATTTAAAGTATCGTACCACTTCACCATACAATTTCTTCTATCCTTCTATAGACATAGATTTACCACACAACTATAAACACGAATGCAAAGCCCAACCAAATGATTTCGTCGAAAAGACTTTCTTCTCCAGATTCTTCTATTCTATTGCAGTTGCCTGTTTAAAAAAACAGAGGTTAAGATAAGAAGTAAGACTAACTTCAATGTACATGAGTTCTTTGAAGACGAGCTACCTTCATAAAAACTAGTCCTCTGTGACACTCCTGTCGATTTTACGTTAATGAAGCTCCGAAGATATGATTAGACGGAAACCGTTGTTTATTAATAACGACTGAGTCTCGTTTTTGTGAAGGGAATTTTCATGGAGTACCGATGACCACTGCAGAACAGCTAAGCACTGTAAAAATGCTTTGTTCTAAGATTCTGCAGTTCCGTGAAAAAGATCGAATTCACAACCATCAGTTCTAATAGGGACCAAATTATTCTTAGACTACTGAATCAGCATACAGTAGTTCACAGTTCCGACTTTAGTCGATTCCTTATTTATTACCGAAACTATAAGATAACACCAGTGAAAACTGTCTCACTCCAATCATGATCGAATTCCATAAAAAACAATTGCTTGCTAAATCTTAAAGTTAGTCATTAAAGGGCACGTAGTTTTTACTTATTTAAGTTAAATAGAGGTAACTGCAAAGATGTTCTACGTTCTCTTCAAAACATTTTGGAGGAATAACAAGTACCAACAGACTGGAAAGAAGGATACCTTATCAAGATACCAAAGAAACGGATCTCGGAGAGTTGAGAACTACAGTGGCATCACACGACTGTCAGTACCAGGAAACATTCCCAACACAGTGCTGTTGAACGGAATAAAGGACTCCGTAGATGCTCAATTTTGATATCAATAGATTTGATGATGCCACGGGTATTCAGTGTTTGACAACGCTTCTACCAGTAACACCTTCTAATGTATTTCGTTCCCACCCAGAGAAATCAAAAGACAGATTCGAGGAGGTCGGAAGAGTATATTTGGCGTTGACCAATATATCGGAATTCTCTGATCTAATCTGGCTAGCGATTGCGGTTGATGTTGAGCACGGCGTTACCACACGTGATCTGGTGCGGATGCCTGACCGAGCGCCTTCAGCTAGATGAGTCCACTAAAACATATGGTCAGCATCCAATGTCGAAAACTTACAGAGCTATTTATTTTGGGGATTTATTTACCGCTACAAATCACTCCCCCCCCTGGTGGGGCAGTGACGACCCTAAGACGTGGCCAGCCACAAGTTTAAACCCAACGAGTTTGTCGTTGGTAAACACTCTTCTGATAGCTTACTAAGTGTAGCAGCGTCTGGTCGCCTTTCCTTACTATATGGGACCGAGGTACAACATAGTAAAAAAAGAAAGAGTTACAACGAAAATTTCGACTCCTCGTAAACTGCATCGTTCTTTTCCAGCCGTCCTGGAAAAGAAAAAAGGAAGTGTAAGTGCATGTCGAAAAACACTAGTATGTGCGTAAAAACACAATGTCAGCGAAAAAAAATGGAAAATAAACTCGAACACACGTAATAGCGTTAAAAAAAATAAGTTTTCGTTTTTTTTAAAAAAAAATAAAAATCTAAATATATAGGCATATTAAAATTGCTTTTTAAAGAATAAATTTTAAATCGTAAAGAGAAAAATCGAGATAATATAAAATGTCGAGTAGTGCCTTATGTGCAGTAGTCGTTTAAATGTTCTGGAAATCTTACTCTTCTTCCATAACGCGATTGATTTTCGTAAGGATTGGTTGGAGAATCCTGGTTGGTTGCCTATGCTTTACGAGGCGTAAAAGGAGTAGGCAAGTACTGGAGATTCGTGAGACGAAATATTAATTGTTTAATTTCAAGTTCTCCGATCAATATTAGTTAGTAATGTAAACTATAACCAAATTTTCATCCTTCCCACGAAACACTGCATGAAGAGTGTAAAATATTTAATTCCCCGATTTTCGGTAAAAAAAAACTGTTACCATTCCATAAATGCTGCAACATCGATCGTTAAACAGACATGAATAAAATGTTCTTTCTCAATATGCTAATAAAATTATGCGAAAGGTAAGGTAAGAAATCAACAGAAAAAACGAACATATATATTCACAAATTTTTCTATATACAATAGAATGCATAAACGAAGGGAACATAATATTGAAGAAGTGAATATTTACTCTCATTCATACAAATCAAAGTCAATACGTGTGATGTTATAGAATTGTCCATCAGACTTCGTTGATTCACGTATTAAAATATTGTCATCGTCATTAAATGTTCCATCTTGAAGCCACACTTTTAATTGTTCAGATGTGTATGGTCCTTCAATTTCTGTATTTGGTTTATTTGAACGTTTTAAATGCCACATGACTGAGGTATTATTATTACTGCCATCATGTTCTTCAGTTGATTTGATTCCACCTAATAAGCATTTTAGAAATTTGAACATGAATAAGGTCAACTATTTTACAAAATCAACCATACAAGGAAATTAGAAATTGATTGAAGCGATCATTCTTTGCATAGTGTATTTGATCTCAATAATGTTTCTGAGCCTTATGTACAGGATATATATCTTTAGACTAATACGACAAGTTTTATGAGAGTTAATTATTAATTCCACCCAAAAGACAACAAAGTATGTTCTATGCTTACTACAGATGTCATACAATACTTGACTGACACTAGACATTAAGACTTGTCATCAGAATTTCCAATAACTAGTTGACATCGGCGACAGTCATAAATACAATTTTGAAGATGATCAGTACCAACTAAGTAGACATTGAAAATTACCCACAGATTTATCAGAAATTCCTATTTTATATCCAAATATGAAACTTAACCAGTTTTACAAATCTTACAGGTTAATACAAGTTATTAGCTACATATACATGTCGACAAAACAGAAGTGTGACTTAACAAATCGTGCAAGATGTATGAGAGGAATTATATTTAGTTTCGATCCCCTGTATACTGCTATTAATCAATGGAACTAGTGTAATTGCCGATGAAGCTTACAAATTTGTGTAATATCCTATTGTCTGCTATTCATTGTTGGGGTAGACCGATAGCTGGATTATATATATAATATAGCCTATTGTTATGGTTTCTCTTATTACGACTCAGCTACTCTTATTGCTTAGTATTCTTGGACACCACTTCACTCGACAAGTCCCCAAATCAGAACACGGTTGAACATGAATGCAATTGCATTTCATATAACAAGGGTGGATGGAAGTAGGAATCAAAAATTTAAAAAATGAGAGCCTATTCATGATTTTTACATGGGAAGATTCGACAGTCTCCTCCAAGTACTCCTTAGCGCTGGTTAATCAAGAAATAGCCAATTAGCGTGCCCAAACACAATCCTGCACAAAACATGCTCTGATCCAATATATATCCCTCTAACACTTATGGACGATTAGCTGTGATTCAAAGTGACTATGAGCAAGCTCACTGTCTCAGCAGCTAAAATGTACTACTTCGACTTATGATGTTCTCGCTGTTTAGGGTAAGCAGTACCATTTCGTGACTTTTGTTCGTTTTTTAAATTGTTTCCTATTCACTTTACTTCATCTCTTATTAGTTTTCCCTTACAGAATTGATATCGTCTAATAACTGGAACCAAAGCAAGTTTGTGTTCAGTCTTACAGTTTTGCTTTTTTTTCAATACAAATAAGTACCTCATAAGATGATCAAGCGAAGAGTTAACGTTTAATATTTAATCTAATCGATCAAAAGTATTTAACCATGGAGTGATTCCGAATACATAGCAAGAGAAATAGGGTAAGAAAATATGGAAGGTGATTATAAATACTTTTCTTGAGAAAAGAAATGGTTTTAGCCTGCCTGTAGTTAACACTCCTTAGTGACTGATGTTTTGTAACATTTAAGTGCAAATATCCTTGAAAGGATTAAAATGAGTAGACTGTCTTGATAAACGTTTTCTTCTAGGTCAAACATGGAAACCATAGTTATTTCCTAGATAATAAATATCTTGAAAGTCACTAATTTTAACGTCACCGCGATACGAATTGAAAGTCGCTAACTATATCTAAGTGGACTACAAAAAACTCTATTTCATTTAATTTAAATTAGTCACGTATTCAGTAGATGTAGCGAAATGTCTTCGAAAATTACAAGACAGTGTTGTCTTGAGAATTTCAAACCAAAACGCTGAAAGCTGTAGTCTTAAATATTACCGCTACGATAATGCTTACTAATTTTATTACAAAGTATAGATTGAAGCTCATTTTTCAGGTAAAAACAACAAACCTTTATCGTCAGCTTGCTTTTCATCAAATGCCTGACCGAGGACTTCAAGTTCATCATCTGCTGCGAATTGTTTTGTACATTCTATCAGTTTTTTTATATCGTCGAATGTTTTTTGATAAACATCAAAATCTCCGCCTTGAACAAGTTGGTCAGCTAATTCAGTAACACGAATTAATCCTTCTGGATTGCCGCTAGAAGATGTTTTTACAAAAAAAACATATATCCGATCTGTCTACGATAACTAAGCGAATGTAGTAAATATAACTTTCAAGGATGAAAATGTTTCTTAGAACAATTTGTCCTGAATATACAAGTATGACTGTTACTACCTAGACATCTCAAGATCCCAGTATGTTATGAGTCATACAATGAATATACACTAGTACACATCTGAACTGAATTTGGGTAATATTCCGGTTCCATAACGTGAAGCCACGACATAATGATTAGAAGGTAAAGTGCCTGAATCGCTAAGTCAGAGGGACTATTTTTCAATTCAACTAATTTGGTTTGGACATGGGATTAGTTTTTCTTACCGTTTACATCATGAATGTGAGAGAAAACAGTGTATGAATCTGTTTCACTACCATATTCTACTAGTGAATGATACATTTATTGAATTTCGAAAGATATGATTGTTGAGAAATAACTATTTTAAGACCGATTTTTCTAAGAACGAGATCTCCAAGTCCTCACATTACCTTGGTCATAGAAAAATAATATTAGTTTTTATAACCTAAGAGGCTATGACCCCTCTTTTTGTTTATCCGCATTTTCCCAATATTCTGTGAGCAGAGACTTATCTTTTATCTATAGTCTATTTCCACTTAACGTTTTTCAGTACTTGAAAACACTTCCGACCACTTTTTAAATGTAACACCTATTTTAGTACAGACTTGTGTGTGCTAAATAATTACAAATACGGCTGTACCCTTTCAGTAAATGATACTTCCAATTCCGAATGTTTCGATGGGTTTCTCTAATTACATAAAGAGTGAAATATTTCTCCATGATGTTCGTATCATTATTCCTTTTCACCGCTGGTGAATAAATATTAATTTCAAAATTAGAAACAAATGGAACGCTACACTTTAATTCGTATCACAATTTTAATGAGTTGTTTAGACATCGTCTCTAACACAACATGATATACTGGAATACGTATGCCATAACCACAAGTACAACACCATATGTGACACTTACGTCTCAGTTTTAGTTTTCGGATTTTTATTTCGTAGCCAGCGTTGGCTGGCTGAAGCGGACTTCTTAGCATCTGAACAGGCACCCATACGTCTGATACTGCGCAGAACGGTCTCAGAAGGTTGTAAATAAGATAAGAGTTCTTGGTACAAAGCGAGTTTCTCCTCTTTACTTAGCACTTTCCCGCCGAGTTCATCGCTTATCGATGTGTCTTTCAATGAATTCTTTTCCTGGTTTTTCTTGACTTCTAGCCAATTAATATCTTCTAACCAATTATCACGAGCATCAACTTGCTATAATAACAGTAACCGTTAATCATAATTTTTCTACTAACTTTCTTGAAAATGAAAGTGCCAGCGGAATCGAAGTGACCGTCTTCCTCAAGCTCTTCTTTCATGTTAAATGGAGTTATTTTAACTTCATCATCATACTCTAAAGTCGTAGCTTCCTGACCTTGTAGAATAATATACAGTAAACAACCAGATACCATCTATATCTGCTTCATGTAATCGGAAACAATCTTTATCGTTATAGTCTTCTTCATCACTATCCAAAGATGGCTTTGACAATTTTAAAGGTTTTGATAACTCTTCGCTAGTGATCTTACTTCTAGTTAAGTAGCTGGACAAATATAACATACCACACCTAAGCCAGAGCGTTTCGACATGTGACTGGATCTTTATGTTAATAAATAGTCGCCACCTCCCACGGCTGCAATAAGGAAAAATAACAAAAGTTAGAAACGCATTTAGGTTAATAAACGAAATGCCAAATTTCATCGTTAATCCCTTAAGCATGTATTTGGACCTAAATGTAACCCTAAGTAGATTGCAAAAAGACCATAAGAACGCTATAGTAGGTTTATTTATTTATTTGAAAGCATAAACATTAGTACAAGGATGCACCAAATACATATGCGCCACACAGATCACTTGATTTGTGTGAAGGCTGTGACACTATCCGGGTGTCCAAACTGAAGCAGGTGGACTCCCTAGGGTGCCACACTCAGATCCTTCGACCTAAAGGTCTAATCCATAAGACAGTGAGGCAGCGTGAGGAGATGTAATTCCATGGTAGCCGGTAACCAACAATCGGTTCACACGCCATTTACCCCCTCCCCAGGATCCGGGAGCCCATTTGCACCATTGGTTTGGAATCAGGGTTTCCCAACTACACTAGGTGGATTCTCTATATCCATCGACCCGGTTAAAGTGCCGGACACTCGCTTTTCGTCCAGTCAGTCAGCAACAACGTAGAACTTCGTACGTACGTACACCAGTTCGAGTTGCCACACCACATTAGCACAGAGATGCACTTGTTGATTCAAATCCCGTAGTGGTAGAGGTAATAAGAGTATAAGCAGTAATCGTGAAGATTAGGGTTTGGAGATGTTATTTAAAGAGTATAATCCAGTGAAATAAATTTGGAAAGAGGAAAAAAGGGACATGAAGAATTCAAAAGATTAGAATTTGGGAGAACACAGAGAGTGGATGCACCTGCGCCATTGCAAACGATTTTCAGCCATGTCATTCAGGGTCTCTAACCATCGGTTACTATCATCTCGCGGTCCCCAACCAGGTAGTCTACACCTACCAACATGATTCAGTCCACTTGTCAGTGATTTCATGGACTTGTGCCATGTTTTAGTTTGGCCGCCCCTAGCTTTCTTCCAACCTACTCCTATACCACTGAGCATAGCACGTCGAGGTAGTCGGTCGTTGGGCATACGCTTTTCGTCCTCTCAATTTTGTAAACAACACCCTCACCACGAGAAGGCAGTGAGTAGGACTTCCCTGTCAGTGGCTGTACACGCATGGGCGCGCGGATTCACACCACCCCCGTCATACTACGGCACCTCGGGGCTATGACTTAAGAGCTACTGCATACTCCCATACAATTGCCGCAAAGGTCTTCCAACCCTATAGTCTGTGTGTTAGTATTCAACTACGTCCATTCTAAAATCTTTTCGACTTTGTATACAGTGCTTGTTCGTCCTAAACTCTAGCACTGCATGCAAGCAGATAGTCCCTGCCTAAAGAGAGTGAGCTGTTGGAAAAGGTTCGAAGAACTGCAACTAAACTGATCCTCGGAATAGAGAAGCTCCTGTATGATAGCAGACTGGCCAAACTAAACCAATTCTCATTGTCATATAGAAGAACAAGAGGTGACTTGATCACAGTTTTTAAACAACTTAGCGGTAAGTTCGCATCTGATGTGTCCACAATTTTCTTGTCTTCCAAAACAGTAAACTTACGAGGACACTTAAAATGTTCATAAGCCCAGAATAAACTAGTTGTCACCTGACTATCCAGTTGGATCATCAAGGAATGGGATTCATTACCTCAACACATGAATGAAGCTCTGTCTGTCGACGATCTCGACAGGAAGTCGGGTCAACTGAGACCATCATTGCCAGGAATAATACAAGCCACCTATATGTTTCAGATTGAAACCGAGAAATAGTGCGCTCACTGTATGAAATTCGTGTTGTCTGCTTTTAAACGACCATAAGCAGTACAGCTTTCGGCATAGATGAATGGATTATTCCCCAGCAATTCAGTCACGTTTGTCCGAAAGTCCCAGTCTTTTCATATACTCAGACTACTTGACATCGCTCATTGCCATGTACTCCTTGAAATGAATTACTATGAAATCCATGTGCTCATAAATATTTTACTGATACGCTTGTTAACAGGGCTATTTAAATTTTAGCTCTAAAATCTCTTTGTTCCAAACGGTGTTTAAAGCTTTAAGCTTCTTGACTAATTACACTTGCGAGTAATAACCTGGGTAGATGTTTGAATATTCAGAAGATTACAGATTTTCGTTGAGTGAATCTTAAAACTTAACTGGATAATGGGAAAGTCTGGACTTTATTAAGGACTAATAAAACCATCTTATCGACGTATTCTTTGGAGGCTGGATGACAGTTTCAAATAGACCGCCTATCTTACCTGTTGGAACAGAAACTAAGACATTGTAACATCCAAAATACAATATCTTTACCATGAGCTTGTCTGAACCAGTAGATGTCCTTGTGCGCGCTTTTTGTTGTTTTCATTCAGCAAGTAAAATTCCGAAAATTTTTAAAAAAGTTAAAATCCTTCGTAGTTTAATTATTTGGAATCTAGTGGAGTCAAAAAACAATGACACTGCTAAAAGACATGCACGCGATCTGCAGTTAGTGGAATCTGTAATTCGAAATGCACTGTCTGAAGAGGTTAGAGGCGAGACCCAACCAAGAAGTATCTTAAAGTTGGTACTCAGAAATTTCGAAGAAATAGACATAACATTGAATAACGCACTCAAAACTCGTGGTCTAAATATTCGTATCCGACTAGATTAGCCTCATGAGGATCGAATCAAGTGGAAGTTAAGAACTCGAAAGCTGAATGGAGAAACGAACCTTACTATTAAGGTTTTTCAGGTAGTCAGGTCTTGGAAGCCAATGCTTCTGAGACTTGTATGGGTAGAACGAATAATTCCCTAAGCACCTTTAAAATGTGCTATATGAACGCCCGTAGTCTTCGAAATAAAACGTCCGAGTTAAGTTTGATGGTGGATGAATTAAATCTCGATATAACTGTTGTCACAGAAACTTGGCTCACCGTAGATATAGACTGTTCTCCCATCATTGCAGGTTACATCTGCATTAGAAGTGATAGAGTTCTAAGTCGTAAGGGAGGATGCATAATGTTGTATGTTATGGATCATTTGAGAATACAATCAATCATATCGGAGACGCATGTTAGTGGTACATGTGAGGTAGCATGTTGTTAAGTCCAGAAACAGGTTAGTGATTGCAGAAGAAATATACTGTAGTCCGTGTTGTCCTGCTGATGACTTTATCTTAGGACACATCTGTTCTTGGAGTAAGGCAGAATGTTGTCTTGTCATTAGAGACTTCAACGCGCCGCATGTCAACTGGATAGAGTTTACAGATCCAGGTGGGGGGTTTCGACAGAGACCTTCTATCAACCATTATTCTGTGTGCACTTGTACAATGTATCGCGGAATCGACACATATTGACTAGGAACATAAACCATCATTGATAGACCTTGTCCTCACACCACTGTGGGGATGTAATCGACATTCAGCACCTTCACCTACTAGTGAATAGTGATCACGTTGTACTGTGAGTTTTGGACAGATGGCATACAATTAGTATCTGCTCCACCCTATCCCAATATCTGTCGAGCTAATATTCCGGCAGATAGAGACTGTGCTACCTCATATAACTGTTCGACCAATGCAGATGGATTTATCGGAGACGAATGGAATAACTTTAAGGCCATATTCGAGCCCGTAACATCACCGTTTATCCCATGGTCAGCACGTAAGCTATCACATTGACCACTATGGATTAATAAGGAAACCTGAAATCTGTTGAAGCGTAGGAAACACTTCTGCGACTTATTCTTGTCAACGGGACACGCATCTTTAAGTATGAATATCTAAAAATCCGGAATATATGTAAAAAGACCATTGCCAAATCCCGTACTACTTACGAAAGACAGTTGGCATATGATAAACATAGTTGTCCGAAACGACTGTTTTCGTATGTTAAACGGCGAGCAGAACCTAGAGATGGTATTCCCCCATTACTATTACATGAAAATTCAGATTTACTGGCCGAACCAAATTAGGCAAAAGCTGAGACTTTTTCAAACTGTTTTAGCGAAGTCTATTCTACGTTTATTGTTACAAATACTTGCCTCAATCACACAGAGATAACAGCCATTGGATCTGTACAGGTGACCGAAGAAACTGTTCTTCCACTGATATCTAACCCCAAACCTTGTAAGTTACAGGGCCCTGGAGGGTTACATCCAAGACTGCTGTCATCTCTCGTGGACATCACTTCAAGATAACTCGCGATGTTCTTCAGCATTGCAATGCAGCTGCTGTCAAAGGTATTCGTGCGTTATGATCACTTTGCCGAGCGTTCAAATGCTTTGACGAGGAAATGTTTCAGATTTTATATTCCATCTATGTAAGACCACACTTAGAGTAATGTATCCAAGCAACTGGCCCTTGTCTGATAAAGGATATTAACTCACTTGAGCATGTTCAGCATGTGGGAACAAAATTAGTGAATGGTTTTTCTAAACTCCTTAACGATGAGCGCTTAAAACGCCTAAACCTTTCCCCTTGTCGTATCGTAGGACGCGAGGTGACCTTATGCTGGCATTTCATATCTTAGATCATGATTTGGGTGTTAATATGTCTTTTTTTCTCGCTCCGTCCAGCACTAATAATCTCTGAGATCATAGCAAGAAGGTTCATAAACCGCGATCTAATAAACCTAATGTGGGGTCCCGTTTTTCTCATCGAGTAGTCAATAGTTGGAACGCCTCACTCGAAGAAATGGTATCAGCCCCATCAGTGAATATTTTTAAGGAGAAGCTGGATCTTCACTGGAAGGCAATTTGTCAGGATTAACACAGGTTTACCAAACTACTATCTTTATTGCTGAAGACTGAAGAACATTTCGCTCAACAGGCTTTCGTATTTAGTAGCATTGGATCAGCAATGCCTGTAATTAGTGGTCAAGTTACCCTTCACAAATGAAAAAGAAATGTTAATAAATTATTTTGAAACGCTACCCCAAACCCTTAATAATAAGTTAAGTTTAATCTTTATGGACTCCTGGGAAGTCGCTTGGGCTACCTTAGTCAGAAGCAAATCCCAAAATTTGACTACTCGTAAAGAGTAGAAGGTGTGTCAACATTCCATTCCGTTATATAGTGTCGCTAACTTCTCTCTGTATCCCCTTAGTTTTGGGCTGGGGCTGAGCCTAAGTAGGTATTTTTGAGGATGTTCAGGAGTTTTTGAGATGCTGTAAGTTGTTAAAAAGCCACCTCAGAGACACTTATGCTCCAACGGGCAAAGATACATTGACCAGAAGGGTTCCTCATGAAGTCTGAAGTTGAGTCGTCGGACCTATTCCATGGCTCATCTGTGGATAGAAACAAATGTATTTCCAGTTTTTGGATCGGGGAACAAACACTAAATGATATGAATACATAAATAAAGAAACCAGGACAAACAATCGAAACCATTTTGGGGACATTATTTCACGACACCCAAAGTTTGTAAAATACTAGCATTTAGTTTTGTCCCTAATTTGCTATATAAACCACAAGCTTTTGTTTGATGTGTGGTTCGTCTCCATACCCTTTTCTTTCATGAAGCTGTTGTAATTTAAACGTGACCTTTTGTTCTCCATGTTTCTACACCAATGTCCAGATTGGACATAATTGTGTTTTTTTGCTTGTTCGTGCATTATGGCCGTGTTATTCATCTACTTATTCCCATATCTTGTTACACCGATCTGAATCAGGAATAAGTTAAGTAGTGTTCCAGTTGACTTGTCTTCCCTCTTGCTCTCTCATTTGCCAACCAATAAGGTGGTAGAAAAGTTTTCATCCTTCTGTCCAATGCCGTTAGTGTCGATTCGAACTCACTCATTTCTGACCTCAAGGTTGAACCACTGTGTTTGTTGTGTCAAGGCATTAGCCTGGATCCAGACAAGCCCTCTCCTGTGTGTTATTGAGCAAATAGATCAAGGACGCAACATGATGCCTGCTGTATTTTATCTAGCGCTGAACGAAAATCTTAGACATTAGGTGGGAATTAGTACAGTCAAAACAACAAAAATTCTCTTCAAAATTTCGAGGAAAAGGTTCACTCGATCTGCATTTTTGCCACAGTTAGCGCAAGATCCTAGATGATAGGGTACCAAAACTTCTAGACTTGCTGATTTGGGACACCTCTACAGGGGAATTACCCAAGTTATGTGTGTGGTGTTTAACATATTTCAGACGGGCCACTTTACAACTTTCAGTGTTAACAGTAAATCCGTCGTTATCCGCCCACCTTTTAAGTCAAGTCAGATCTGTAGAACTATGGTCTACTATGATATTAGTACTGCTCTAATAATAGACCTAATCCTAAATTTGTAGATTTGTCATGATATAACTGCCTAATCTATAAGATCTTACGTGGAAGTCACACCATCGACTACACCAACTCACTGTATCGCATCAATTACCAATACATGATGTAGAACAAGGTTAGGCTAGAGAAAGAACAATATATTTAATATGAATAGAAGATATAAGGCAACATTCAGCAGAGACCACGCCTGCATGGTCGAGCCATGCCACTCGATCAACTCCAGTCCGTTCAATTCATTGTTCGCGCCTTCTCCATTCTTAGGTACTTCTCCGTGTTAAATATTGAATATCTATTTTCTGAGTAGTCTTGTGTTCAGCTTTGAAGATTGTATGGTTATGGTCCAATCCCACTACAGATCCTCCTAAAGTGCCAGATTATCATCTTGGTCTTGAACTTCTCTCCAAGGTTTAAAAGTGTTAGGGTGAAGTGGCATCTCGGATGACACCAGACGGAGAAATTCATTCGTATGGATTAAAATGAGAAGAGGTCCTAGTACAGTACGCTGGAGGACCCTACCAGGACATTATGCAGCCCAATTAAAGTAAAGTATGCTATGGTCCTAAAACGTCGATTATTTAGATATGAAGCGAACCGAACGACTAACGTTGACACGTAATTCAACAGGTTTAGCTTGTTGACGAGACATGTATGACTGACTCTGTCAAAAGATTTAGACAAGTCAAGTTGTCACACCTGGTGTCCTCTTTCGATCATTTACGGTCGTCCATCTATGCACAACATTTAGCAACGTTGTTTTGAGGGAGTGACCCCTTCTGGAACTGTGTTTTAGGGCGAAAAATAAAGTTATGGGGCGAGACTCTAATTTAGCGACGAGCCAATCAGAAGCGTTTGAGCAATTTCAAGGTCACGGAGCCAAGTTCAACACGCGATGCTAACATACGGTCGGTTCACAGCGGATTTTAGAGAGGAGGTGATTAATGAGAGGTTAAAACAGATGGGACGGCGAAACTCTAATTTAGGGACGAGCCAGTGAGAAGCGTTTGAGCAATTTCAATTATTAGCCAATCAGAAGACAGTATAAAGTAAAAATATATTACAAGAAAGTAATGAATTACAGTGGATATTCTTCTTTTACATGA